TGAAACTTATATATTTTAAATGCAAATATTTTACCAATTGCTTCTTAAGAAAGCATTTGAGAACTTAGTAATACTCTACCAATCAAGCCCAGTGACACTCCGTTTATTTTCCATCACTCAAACACTGAAAAGCGAAAAGATAGATGAAGTCGGATCCATTAAATTCTAAGCTTTGATCTACAGTTCTAATTACAATTGTTTCTGATACTACGTATAGATAATTATATAAAAATTCCAAAATTCTAAAATTTCAAATACATAAAAATAATAATATGTAAATTTTAATTTTTTCAATACTAAATTTTTATATTTTAATTACATATATTCACCCTGCGCAAGGCGCAGGTCTTATCCTAGTAAAACATTAAAACATAATTCACTCTTGTTACAACTTACAACTAAAAGAGTAAAAAGATTGAACTCGTATTGGTTACGTGAGTTACAGAGCTTGGGTTGCCCTTGAATAGAAGTAAGTGAAACACTTGCTTTCGGCCGCCAAATATTAATTACTAATTCGACCGATATTTTTAAAACTATTTTTAGCACATAATATACTACTAATTTGAAGAGGTAATGAGTTTGAACCTAGTCGGCCACATAATTTTTTTTTGGCTTCTAGCCTACATATTTCTAGGACCGACTTTACTTAGGTTTAAGGGATGATGGTTGATGGTTCTGAAAATTTGAAAAGGAACAAGAAAAGGTGTGGAATTGATACTGCGGAATCCGGTGCAGTGACTTTTATTTTAGCACATCTATACTATTATTTAAGAAGTAATTTTGCTGAGGTGTCATGTCCTCCATGATTTTAGGTAATTTTCATAATTTTTAGTTTTAAATCCTATCCATACTATTATATAAGAAGTAAATTTGCTTAGTTGTCAACTTCTCCTTGATTTTAGGTAAATTTATTTATTTACCTTATTTAAATAATTTCATATACAATTTATTATTTAGTAAAAACGAATTTATATTAATAATGTTATATTTTCAAAATTTCATATACAATTTATTATTTAGTAAAAACGAATTTATATTAATGATGTTATATTTTCAAAAATATGTTAATTATTTTGTATTAAATTGTTATCTTAAAAATATATTTTTCTATTATAAAATTCAAGTATTATATAAGAAGTAAATTTGCTTAGTTGTCAACTTCTCATTGATTTTAGGTAAATTTGTTTATTTACCTTATTTAAATAATTTCATATACAATTTATTATTTAATAAAAACGAATTTATATTAATAATGTTATATTTTCAAATATATGTTAATTATTTTGTATTAAATTGTTATCTTAAAAATATATTTTTTCTATTATAAAATTCAAGTGAATTTATTGATTGATTTGTAACTTCTCCATAATTTTTGTAATTTTACTTATTTGTTATATTTTTAATAATTTTATCAATAATTTATCATATAATAAAACGAATTTCTCTTAACAATATTATACTTTTAGAAAATAAGATAATTTTTATGTATTGTATTGTTATCTTTAAAATATATTTTTTATCATAGAAATTAAAAATTAAGTTAAATATTAATAGTTAAATATAAAGAAAGTAATGATGATTTATCAACTTCTCCATGGTTTTATATTTTTCTTATTTATCATATTTTAATAATTTCATAAAAATTAGTAAATAATAAAACAAATGTATACTAATAATACTAGATTTTTTTTAAAAAAATAAGATAATTCTTATATATTAGATTGTTATCTTGAACATATACTTTCTATTAGAAAATTTAAGTGAATTATCTGATTTGTAATTTCTACATAATTTAGATAATTTAAATAATTTGTCATATTTTTAATAATTTCATACAATATTTATTATAAAATAAAACGAATTTCTATTAAAAACTATATTTTGAGAAAATAAGATACTTCTTATGTATTATATTGTTATCTTGAAAATATATTTTTATTACAGAAATAAAAATTAAGATTGAAAAATTATAACTAATATAAATTAAAGCAACACATTTGAAAAAAATATATTTCTAAAAATATTTTGTTATGTGAATGTTGTCATTTATAATTAATTTTAAAACATAAATCATAACTTATTATATTGGTTTAAATTAATAAAATACAGACTAATAATAAATTATACGAAAATTATGCCCGCATGTGCGGGCAAAACACCTAGTATACAATAATATGCATGTATGTTTTCTTGAGAAAAATAATATATATGTATGTGTAGTAACCTATGCTTATGTATGTGTTGAAGTAAGTAGTAGTGGATAAAGTCATGGAGTACTCGAGTAGAGGTAGAAGCAAAAGCCAATGCACATTTTATTTCGAAAACGAAACCACCAATTTGGCTTCTTCTTCCCACAATCATCATATCCGTTCTCCACTCGATGACGATAGATTCATCAACCATCATCATTTTGCATAGGAAAATTAATTTTGTGGGCTAAATTCTTTCAAAACCCAAATTCCACATGCATCTATGCCCAATCCCCTTCCTTATTTCTGTAGCCCAATCAACACTCTTTATTTTGCCAAACTAATACATTATTTTTGCTAGCGTCCCACTACTTATATCTTTATCATGTTAAATTTCTCTAAAACCAGTAAAAATAAGGAAAAAGAAACACCAGGTACAGTACTAAATAGTTTCATGTGAAAAATATTTACTATGTAAAGCTAAATTTCATGACTATTCAATAAAACTATCAAGCTACACATTGACAAAAAAGACTACTCATTACATGTATTGATGATATACATGGAGAAAAAAGGTTTAGAATAAATTGATGAGGCCAAGGACTAGGACCACTAAAATTGAATGTACTCATTTCCTGTATTGATAATGTCAACAAAAACCCAAAATGCAAAGACAAACCAAGTAATAAGAGAGGATCAATGGAACTGGAGGAGATAATCAACACCGAAATGAAACCCCATCCATCCACGCTTCTCTAAACGTGTTCAAAAATTGTTATAATTATACTATTGATATTATCTCTATTCTCTACTATTATTCATACATAGCCATTCTTTTGAGTATCTCATATACTACAAAATGGATCAAAGCTAACTACTTAAGAGAATTTTACTACTAGAACCAAATATATAACTTATAAGAGGTCATAAGATGTAGATAAATTTACCAGAGGTAGGAGAGGGTAAGAGTCCTGGAGTTGTTCTTGTTTTCATAGTGATGAGAATGTTGTAAAAGAAGATTCTACTCCCCTTCTCACCATCAGAGCCTCTCTTTTTAGTTTCAGATTATCCATTGATGATTCCTCTGACTTATTCTTTGCGCTGTCTATTGTTAGCCACCATCTCTATCTTAGCCCTCTTCTTCCCCCCTTATTCTATCGTTGCTATCATTGCATCACATTATGGAGATGCTTTGTACTGAAATTGACATCCTAAAACTTTCACATATATAATTTAAATGAAATGCATTGTACCTTCGCATTTCAACATAAATTACAAATCCACATGTTAGAACCGTACTTTGCCCTGGTCTATCTACACTATAATACACCTTACTTCTCATGTGTTAGTCAATGAAAATTTATTTGGAAAGAGTGTAAGTTCATCTTGCTAGGTAGCTTTATTCGTCCACTGTGGTCCCATGCGTGTGATACTCACCAGCTTCATGGCTACCTTCACTATGGGGATCCAAAGAGTGTGAACTGTTGTCACCTTTCATATTCAGTGAAATAGGAAAACAAAACTAAAGAGAAAGAAGATGGAGACTAGGCGTGGGCGTTTCGGGTATCGGTTCGGATTTCGGGTTTCAAGTAGTTTGGATAGGGGGTTAGAGGATCCATTTACTACTTGACCTATTTTTGGTTCGGTTCGGTTTGGATAATTTCGGGTTCGGTTTGGTTCCGATAGTAAAACTAGGAATAAAAAAATATCTAGAAAATTCGATTCTCATTTAGTTCCAGTTCGAATATAGTTCGGATAAATTATCAGTTATTTAGGATAAAATATCAAATAATTGGAACGATTTAGATACAAATTTTAGATATTTCAGATTACTTTGGATATTTGGATAAAATTATCCGTATACTTCCAGATAGTTCGAATACATTATAATTATTTAGTTATCTTCAACTATATTTAGATATTTCTAATAGATTTTTAAATTAAAATCATATATTTGGTTATGTTATATGTATATAAAATTAATATTATTATATATTTGGGTAACCGTTCGGTTCTCGGTTCGGTTTCGGTTTGGTTCGGTTCGGTTATTTTAGATATATAAATATAAGAACCGTTCGGATATTTAAGGGTTTTGGTTTGGTTCCAATTTTTCATATTTCGGTTCGGTTCTTCGCTTCCGGGTTTTTTTTCCCATGCCTAATGGAGACTATACTATAGCCTAAGTCAATTGACTTGTTAATGGGCCTTCATTATAATACTGTCCCATGAAGGGAAAGAAGGTGGACAAAAAATGTGACCAGCTTGAGAAGAAGGTATTAGAAGAAACAGAATGTTATAGTTCCAGCCAAATGTCGCCAAAAATGTACATCCAACAAGGAAAACAAAATTAAAGAGAATATTAGAGCACAAGTCAACAGAAGACTAGTAATGGGCCTTACATCATAATATTGGGCCCGTACAGAGAAAGAAAGTGGAGATGTAGTGGAGCAGCTGGACAGAGAGTTATCAGTCCGTGTGGCATTGTTTAAAGAGGGAAACACTACTCTTTTGGTCCGAAAAGTATTCAAATAAGGCTGAAAATCGCTGACACTTGTGTCAGAAACCTGACAAGTGCCTTTAACTCTCTTCACACTCGCCTCTTCGTCTTTCCTCTGTTTTCTTCTACTCTCTCTCTCTCTCTCTATTCCCTATGCATTAAAACAGTGGCGAACAGAGCAAAAAATTTTAGTATCTTGTTAAAGCTTTTTCTTTTTAGGAGGTGGGTTTTGTTTCTTTAGGTCAATAGTCTCAAAAGCTGTCTCCTTTTTCTCGCATAGAAGAAAAAGAAACACAGTTTACATTGTTAAGAAGATGCAGAGCCCTAAAACAGAGGAGGAGGAGGAAGGTTGGAGGAAGAAGAAGTGGCCGTGTATGAAAGCCACTCAGTTACAAGAGTTTAAAATGCAAGCTTTGGTTTATAGATACATAGAAGCTGGTCTTCGCGTGCCTCATCATCTTGTGGTGCCTATTTGGAAGAGTCTTGCTCACTCTTCTTCTTCCTCTAGTTACCTTATCCACCACAACCATCACTCTTCTTCCCGTAAGTAATTTGATGGGTTGTGTTTGGTTAAATTACTGAAACATGTTACTGGGTTCTTGAGGTTTCAGTTGCAAGAGTTACAAGATTCATGTACACAATAGTCCATAGTTTATTAGAGTTCATCTTCTGCTTTTAATAGTTGATTCTTGGTTGAGTTGCAAGAGTTAGAAGATTCACATACAGAAACAGTCTAAGTTACCGCTGAATCTATTAGAGTTTATATTATGTTTATATCAGTTGATTTGGTTCTTGTCTGGGTTCTACAATGGTTTAGTTTACCTGAGAACATGTTTTTGGTTGTTGCAGTGTTAAATGATAAGGTGGACCCTGAGCCCACAAGGTGCAGGAGAACAGATGGGAAGAAATGGAGGTGTAGTAACAAAGTCCTCCAGTTTCAGAAGTACTGTGAACGGCACATGCATAGAGGCCGTAAACGTTCAAGAAAGCTTGTGGAATCTTCTTACGACGATGTTGCTTCGTCTTTTGCTTTAACCAAACGTGACAACACTGATGGTTTGGACAGTAGTAATGAGAGTCAGAGTGTATCTCATGGGACAATGTCGGTTTCTACTAATGCTCAGGTTGTCACCATTGCTTCACTTCCTAGTGCCAGAGTCTGTGATAACATCACTCGTCCATCTCTAGTCATCACCGAGCCCACAAACAAAAGTGTGAGTAATCACGATAGGAGCACGGACATGAGTTATGATGACGTCATCAAACAAAGAGGTGCGACTTTGAGTGTTAGAGGTTTTCCCGTTCAAGGTATCAGGATATCAGACACATTACAGAACTGAAGAGTTCATTACTTCACTGTTATATGAATTGACCTTTGATTGTTTCATTACCAGGTTCTGAGAGGTTACATTCTGTTCAGAAGTTCTTCCCTGAGGCATCTGATAATTCCTTAGAAGCTACAAAATTCTCAAGCAACAGGAAGAATGAGATCATTGCAAGAAGCAGAGAATGGAAGAACATGAATGTTAATGGCGGTGGCTTGTTTCCTGTCATCCACTTTTCTCCAGACACTGTTCTTGAAGGTAATAAGCTTTCTCAGAAATGGCTTTGATTGCCGATGATGTTAATGGCTGTGCTACTATTCTGTAGATCGTGGTGGGTTTGGTTTACACAGAGTTGAAACAGACAATGAGCCGGGAAGGTGCCGAAGAACAGATGGGAAGAAGTGGAGATGCAGCAAAGATGTATTGTCTGGGCAGAAATACTGTGATAAGCACATGCATAGAGGTATTAAGAAGAAACGTCCAGTAGAAACTGGTCACTCACATGAGAATGCTGGTTTTATCCGAGAAACCGTGAGACCAGATGACAGATCTGTTTCTTGCAAAGATGGAGAGCTCCCTGTTTCAGGTTTGGGAACTCCACTGTCCCGAGTTTCAGATGAGAAGAACACTACTAGTTGCAGCACCGACACCACCATCACTGACATAGCTTTAAGGGGGGAAGAAGACAACGAGGAGGAGGTCTTGTCATTGTGTTCTTCAGCAGTTTAAAAGCATAGAAAAAGTTGTTGAGCTTCTAATGTTTCTGATGTTTTCTATCTATGGATCCTTCTTAATATGATGTTGAGAAGTAAGAACTCAAAAGAATATTAAGACACAAAAGTCAGTTAGATTATGTTGTGCTGAAATGAGACAACATACATCTAGGAATATGCTTTCTCTAAACTTCCAAGTCTTTCTCCCCACATCGTTAGATTATAAGCCACTTGTCCAGAGAGAGGGTGAATAGCATCAGAAAAGGCATACACCTTTAGGATCTGCGTTCTTGACGATCCAGGGGTGTTGCATGATCTTGGTAAGAGAGAGTCTTTTGGAAGGATCCTTAACAAGAAGCTGCAGAGAATACAAAGCAATGTATGTTAAATGCTCTATAACTCGTCCAGCAAGAGAGTCCTTATGGGCAATGCTCTGGCTTAAGGTTTACCTGACTGATTAGATTTTTAGCTTCTGAAGAGACATTTGGTGTATCAGGAAAACTCAGATCGATCTTAACAATTCTGCATACCATTATATATATATAAATCAACATCAGAAGCTGTGGTTTAAGTTTTTTTTCTGTCATTTATACACTTCTCTTACCTCTTGAATGTATCTTTCTGGCTCTCCGCTTCAAATGGAGGGCTACCATAGAGAAACTCGTAACACAGAATCCCTAAAGTCCAGTTATCAACAGCATGATCATGATCTTTGTTTTCAACCATCTCAGGTGCTAAGTAATCTAAAGTCCCACACATTGTCTTCCTCTTGTTACTTGACTGCACTGACCACCCAAAATCTGCAATTTTCAACCTTCCCTGCAATGTAAAATCACAAATACTAATGACAAAGATTCACACTCTACAACGCAAACACTATAACCAACAATGCACACTTACCTCGTGATCGAGCAATAGGTTTTCAGGCTTGATGTCTCTATGAATCACACACTTTCCATGACAATAAGCCAGTGCTTGACTAAGACTTGAAATGTACTGAATAATAATAATAAGCCAAAGTTAAGTCCAACGATTGAGTTTGTATTACATCGTTGAAGGGACTCACAGTGGCGGCTTGTTGTTCGGAGAGATGACCATTCGCTTTGAGCAGACCGTAGAGCTCACCACCGTGAGCGTACTCGAGAATCAAGAAGATCCTCTCGTCGTCATCGAACCAACCGAAGAGACGGAGGATGTTGGGGTGTCTTAGGCTCGTTTGGATCTCCATCTCTCTCCGAAGCTGGTGATGGAGTTTGTATTTCTCGATCTGTTCCTTGAATATCACTTTCAACGCCACCACGAAGTGACTCTAATCACACACACAGTTGAGATTCGAAAATTAGGTAACAATTCCATGAAGTCTAAACATACGATACATGAGGAGAGGATTCAAACGTAATCGATTTGATTGAAGGTAGGGTTCAATCTTACCTTGGCTACGCGAGCGAGATAGACTCTGCCGAATTTGCCTTTACCTAACGGTCTCCCGATCTCGAAATCTGCGAGGGACCATGGCTTCTCGGCATCGCGAACGTAAGGATCTTCTGGTTTCTTATTCATTTCTCCGATCACCACCGTGACTCGACGACGAGGAGAGGGAGAGTGAGCAGAGAGCGTGATTCGAAGGGGAAGATAGAGAGAGAAAGAGTACGAAACTAATAAATTTGAAATTTGAATTAGGAATCTGAAGAAAAGATACTGATTCCGTACGCAGCGTTCAAGCGTTTACGATCTGACCGGTTTCTCCGCTATCACCCGCAAACATAGTTTTTGCGATTGGTAGCAGTTGTTGACATTTTGCAACAATCATTCAAACCGTTTTGAATCGCTTTGAACTGCTTCAAACCACTTTAAACCGCTTAGTTTCAAAAGCTGGAACTTGCGATTGCGAGCAATTACACGAGGGTGATTTTTTTCTTTCTTTTCAAAAAATATTATAAATACAAAAATAAAAAATATTCAATAAATTTTTAAAATTGGAATTATAAAAATACTAAAATATATCTATTATATTTTAATTAATATTATTAAAAAATCTAAAAATATAACTTTCTAAGTATAATTTATGTATTTATTATAATATTATGATTTTGGTATTTTTTTATAATTATATAAAATGTAAATATTGTTAATTTATATTTTAACCGCTACTGCATTTGGTAGTTAATCAGTCACAAATATCCCGCAAACGCACCAATTTGTAATATCAGTTATACGAATCTCTTAAAACCATAAGAAACCGCAACCACTCGCATCCGCAAACTCCCGCAACCGTAACCGCTGCGTTTAAACCAGTCAGACCCTAAAGCAAGTCTAATGTAAATGACGGTTTACCCTCTAAAGTTTGCTATTTTTGTTTACTTTTTTCATTGTCAATTTTTTTACTAATTTTAGAAAATGATTGCCCACTATCATATTGATGATTATAAAAATTCAGATCTGATCATACTGAAAAATTAATATGCTGTTGTGAATTATATAAAGTGAGATGTATAATATATGAATTTTCAAAAACATTTGTTATAAACATGAGAAATGATTTTCAAAAATTTACGCACCAAAAATTGATGTTTTCGTGTATACGTAAATTATGTGTTTTCTGTGATTGTTGCAAAACGCCAATAACCACTACCAACCGCAAAATCTGCGTTTGCGGGTGATGGCAGAAAAACCAGTCAGACCTTAAATCCTACTTTTTCACTTTTATATATATAATCAATTGCGATCATTTGTAACTCGCACCATTACTTCTTTCTCTCTCTATATAATAAATTCTCTCTAATGTATATTATTGTTATTTCTTTTTGCCCTTATTTAAATATCTCGATACTATAAAATTATAAGTTATTTTATAACACATAATCAGCACGATCACTCTGTAATTCGGTAAAATTTATATGTATCATATTTATCTTAATATAATAGTCGATATACCGCCTATATTACTATTTATTATTTTACAATGGTTGTTTTAATTTACTATTATTTATAAATATTAATGTGTGCGGTATATATCCTCGTTTATAAACTTTGATTGCTAACTACACTATATTTATTGGCTTGACTGTGTCGCCACATAATTTATTTAATATTTTAACGAAATAATTTTATACCATATTAATATTGATATTTGCATGTTAATTACATTTTGGTTATTATATAAATGTTTGGTCACCTATATAAACTTATTATGAAATTTACTGAATTGGAAATTGTGGTACATTTGGAAAGATCATCATTTCGCATGGATATTGTGGTACATTTGGAAAGAGCGAAATAACAAAACTTTTAGTAATTTGGATGTTGATCTGAAGGGCACACTCATATTGGCGGAAACAGAATCTACTCTGTAGGAGGAGGCCCAATTAAAAGTAGATCAGACGGAAACACAGTTAGTGGTAGGAGCGGTCATGCCGTCTATACCAGGGTGTTGATGTTTTATTGATGGTTCATGGAAAGATAAGAAGATGTTTGATGGTCATGGTTGGTATAGTACTCTTCCAGGTTTTCTGGATTTAATGGGAGCAAGAAATGTTAGAGGTAGCCTCTCACCTCTACATTCTGAGATGGAAGCGCTTATTTGGGCAATGTAGAGTATGAGGAATTTGCGTCAATATAATGTTACATTTGCAACGGACTGTTCTCAGTTGGTGAACATGGTTTCGGAACTAGAAGAATGGCCAGACTTTTGCAAGTTATCTGGAAGACATCAAGACACTTTACGGGAGTTTCACAGCTCTGCAATCATCTATGTACCAAGGACACTTAACTCACAGGCAGAAAGTCTCGCACCCTGTGCGAGAAAACAATCGTCTTTTGTTGTTCACATGGATACAGAGCTACCAGTTTGGTTCGCAGAGTCCATATGGTTCTGTTTTTCGATGTCAAAAAAAAAATGAAATTGACTGAAATTGGTTGACTGCTTATTAGAATATTTTCAGACTGATTTTCGGTTCAAACGATTTAACCCCAACGGTCACAAAGAAAATTTCAAATTTTTTTACCCTTTTTCCAACGGCTATAAACAGTATTTTCATCTATAATACACTTATCCTTTATTCATTCAATTCATCAAAACATTTCATATCCTCTCAAATACTTTCAAATAATTTTCTTTTGATTATCTTCTTGAAGAAAGATGATTCGCTTGCTTTAAGTTTTATGTACGATTGTAATTTTTGCTTATATATATGGTCTTTTTGTTGGAGAATTTACTCCAATAGAACATGAATGTCGTTCTGTTTTTTTATGCGGTGTTTTTCCTTGTAATTACTTGCATGATTAATGTAAACAGTTCATTTTAAATATTATGAAATTTTAGTAAAATTTATTATATTTTTTTTTAGAAATACAAATAGCAAGAATCGAGCATCTTCAGTTTCTGGCTCTCAAATAACTGGTGAAAACCATGTCGGACGAGTCACAAACGTGAAACCCTATCTGGTGATGAAAAATTTAACCAAGACGATTGTAATAGGTAACAAATCGCCGCCTGAACATAAATATGAAAAGCAAGAATTAATTTTTCTAAAGAAATACCTCGATGAGAATATTACGCATGACTATGCGAGCATATAAGACCCAGCTGAACTATGGCAAGCTTTGAAAGAAAGGTTCGATAACCAAAAGGAAGTCAATCTCCCTTACGCTCGGAAAGAGTGGAAAAAACCAAGGTTCCAAGACTTCCAAAAGGTTGAGGAATATAATTCCGCTGTCCTGAAGATAGTTTCACTACTGAAGTATTGTGGAAGCCCTATCTCTGAAGCAGAAATGATGAATAAGACATACAACACTTTCCACAATCAGCTTTACTTCCCACCCAAAATTTACAGAAAATGAGGACACAAGATTTTCTGAATTGATGGTTGCGCTTGTTAGGAAATACATGTCAATTTGTTTGCGGGAAAATAAAATTCATGGGAGCGGAAAGACACACACAAAATTGTTAACGGAGTTCGGTCAATCGTGCCTACCTGCTACAAATCTTTATTATCAATCCGGGTAATTTTACAATGCTCTCAACTCACACCTAACCCCAAATACACTCAAGAAATTACACTTAATTTCTTAGAAAGAAAGATTTTCTCACAATAAAGATTTCCTTATTTTTCTCTCTTGCACATTCTCTTCTTCTCTTGTTCTCTCACTTTTGGGATCAATTATTTTTGTTTTGGGATGATCTTGAACGTGAAGAAGCGCCATGTATATTTGGAGAAGTATGAGAGGTAGATGAAAAGTAGTTGTTGACAAAACAAGCAAGCCATTTTTTTTTACTTTGTTTTCACCATATCTCCATTTAACCAATTTCTTTCACCGTCTAACAATGAAAACGTGATTTTTTGACTTACAATCTCCCACTTGAAGACTGATTTAATTATGTCTTCCTAGCTTGTTACTCTAACAAGCCAACTGAGGCCGCACACATCCTCAGCTTCTCACACGGCACCACCTTCGTCATCATGTCTGCAGGATTCTTACTTCCTGGGATATTCTCAAGCACCAACATTTCATCTTCCAACGCCTATCACATGAAATGATACCGACGATATATGTGCTTCGTCTGAGCATGGTAAACTGAATTCTTTGCCAAATCTATGGCACTCTTACTATCACAGTACAACACAGTTTTTCGCTGGTCATGGCGTAGCTCTTGTAGAAAATACTGTAACCACATCATCTCTTTTGTTGCCTCCGTCACTGCAACATACTGAGCTTTACAGCTTGATAGAGATACAATCTTCTGTAATTTTGAAACCCAACAAATTGCAGTACCGCCTAAAGTATAGACATACCCGGTTGTGCTCTTGGTGCTGTCAACGTCGCCTCCAATATCAGCATTAGCATATCTCTGCAATCTCATCTCAAGAATTTTCGAAACATAGTGAAAAACTTGGATTTCCTTTAAGATATCTGAAAATCCACTTGACGGCTTTCCAATGTTCTTTTCCTAGATTGCTCATAAACCTGCTGATGACTCCCACTGCATGTGAAACGTTTGGCCTTGTATATATCATCGTGTATATCAGGCTGTCTATAGCAGACGCATATGGAACTTTATCCATATATGCCATCTCATCTTCCGTCCTTGGAGACGGTTATCGGGATAACTGAAAATGACTTGCCAGGGGAGTATTAACTGGATTCGCGTCATCCATGTTAAACTTCTTGAGGACTTTCTTCACATACTCCTTTTGTGATAGCTTAAGACATTCCTTGTCTCTACTGATTCCCATCCCAATAATATGTCTTGCTTCTCTAAGATCTTTCATCGCAAACTCTTCTGAGAGTGTTTTCTTCAAGCTATCGATCTCATGCAAGTCCCTTCCTACTATCAGCATGTCATCCACGTATAGGAGCAATATCAAGTAGGACTATTCAAACCTCTTGAAGTAACAACAGTTGTCAGCCTCACACCTCAAGAAATCGAAACCTTTAATAAAGCTGTCAAAGCTTTTATACCACTGCCTTGGAACTTGTTTTAAACCGTACAAACTCTTTTTCAGCTGCAAACAAGGCTTTCTTTCCCTTTGATCCCAAAGCCTTCAGATTGCTTCATATAAATATCTTCATCCAAATCACCATGAAGAAATGTCTTCTTTGCATCCATCTGTTGGAGATGCAAATATTCTTATGCTACCAGCCCAAG